CTAATTAACTAATAAGTCTGATGAAAGCACAGAGCAATGGTCCCTAGTGTGTAGACAGTGACAGTCAGAGGTGGTGAGAACATACCAGCAGGAACATGTTGTAGAGAACGTGAAGGGTGAGCGAAGGTGTGATGAAAAGACTTGACAAGAGAAACAGAGGCTGTGTCCAATCGACAGTCAGCACAGACTCTGCCACACAGTGGAGTAGTGGTTAATGCTTTTGCCTTACAACAAGAAATAAGAAGAAAGAAACTGTATGGAGTTCCCAGTGCTCAGGCACTCTTCTGCCTCCTACAGTCCAAAGACATGGAAAACCCCCAACCCATGGTTGACAGCATGGTGGAGACATGGACCCTCACCATCGATGAGGTTCAGCTTTCTTTGGGAAAGATTTAGGATTTAACCCACTTCGGTTTAGGTTTGTCCTTTTAAAATGTAGGGCACATGAGGAAGAATGTCCTTGAAAGAATGTCATAAGAAAAACAAATAAATAAAACCTAAGCAGGTCCCACAACAGATGAAGAGACGAATCAAACAGCTCCAGGTCTGGACCTTCAGAAGGTTCTAGTTAGAGAGGTCAACAGGGCTTGGAATAAAGTTTCTGGGAGTTTCAGTGTTTCAGGTTTTACCAATGAATGAAACAGTTCAGTTCATCAAGTCCAGGGAGCTGCAGAGATATAGATTTTAGAGATAGTGTATCTCCACTGGTGCTGGAGGGAGGGTGTGTGTGTGTGTGTGTGTGTATCACGCTGTAGAATCTGAGTCTTAATGACTGAATGACACCTGCAGCATCATCTGAGGGACAGACCTCGAGTCAGTCTGCACTAGTCACCATCACCATCACCTACACACACACACACACACACAGAGAGAGAGAGAGAGAGAGTGTGTAGAGTGTATGGTGTGTCTATGTGTGTGGTCAGAGGAGCAGGCAGGTTAAAGGTGACCTCTGTCTACACTCAATATGTGGACAGAAAACACACGACCAAACACACAGTCTGATGTCACACTGCTCTGCTGTGACTGTCTCTCTCTCTTTCTCTATCTCACACACACACACACAGGCGCACGCATGCACATGCAGCACAAACCTGGTGCCAGCATGGTCCATACTTCGATCTTCACACAGCAGAAGATAAATCCACATACACAGCAGCGTGTGTGACAAACAGTGTGTGTGTCACATCACATTCTCACACACACACAGCGTCTCAGGCTGACTCTGTAACACTGGTATCGCCCAAACCAAGAAAACGTGTGTATGTGAGAGAGTGTGTGTGTGTGTATGTGAGGCGGCAGACTGCTGTAACACTGAGGCAGAGAGCGATGAACAGCACTGTTATACATTCCAACCCCAATTACTCTCCCCCCACCGTCCTCTTCTCGCTCCCTCTGTGGCTCTCTCTCTCTCTCTTTCGATTCCCTTTTCCACCCTCCCTTTTTCTTTTTTCCACCCTCCCTCCCTCCCTCACTCTCACCTCAGCCTTCCTTACCCTCATCTTGCTCCACTTAACTTTCCCATCACTCCCCCATGTATTCCCTGTTGTAGTCCATTCAGTCTCTCCTGTCTTTCCTCCTGTCTTTATTCAAGCCTTTGACAGAGTTTTTTTCACTAAAATTCAAAGTGACCAGAGCAGGTTGCACCCACGTCACACCCCTGCACCACCAGTGTCACTTTCATCTTTTAAAATGACACAGAGACCTTCTAATGTGGCCCCCTAGTGGTGCCATGTAACCCACATTTAGACTCTAATTAAATTAAACGGATGGGTCACAGCCCACAGTCATTAATAATGCGTAGCTGACAGCGCCACACCTTGACTTGTATTGTCATGTATCATCTTAAAGGTTAAAATCCTGGATTCTTCCCACTGACTTTGACTCACTAACACAAACATCAACCTTCACATCTGATCTTTGCTGTTCCCACCAGGAGAAATCCTGGAATCACTGCACGTCTTCAAGGTGTTAACCTGACAAAGAACCTGTGGTTTGGAAAAGAGGTTACTGAATTGTTCTCACTGTTTCAAACAGTCCTTTACAAGGATTCCAGAAAGAATTCTGAGGAAACACCGGGGGAGTGGTGAAGCCCCACGGCTTTGAAGATCTGCATTTTCAGCACATGCTATAAACGCTTCTTTCAACACGAGCAGGCTGAGGATGAGTGAGTGTGCAGATTTGGAGGCAAGCAAGGGTCGGGGGGGGGGGGCACTGGAGTATAAACAAGGCCAGAAATCAGACCTGGACACTAATCTACATTAACACACATACACACACCAGCAGGCAACAAGCTCATCAATATACAGTACATCAGGGTGGATGGACACACACAAACTCATGTGGCATTTCAGATTGTTGACTCATCATGATTCAGAGCAGCACCTCCCTTCAACCTCCACCTGACTGACAAGTCAAATGTAGGTGAGAGCTGCGCAGTGGTGGAGAAGGTGGAGAGAGAATCTTCATTTAGGACCGACTTCAATGGATTACAAAAAAAAAAAAAACAGGCAAAAAAAGTTACACAAGAGAAAAGTACACTTTAATTACTCAGGTTGTTAGTTAACAGTAAAAACACCAGGCTGCTAAAAGTGTGTGCTGAAGAAAGTATGCACAGTGTGCAGGCACAGAGGGATGACTAACCAGAATGAAACACTACGGTGGGAAAGTAACCTCCTCCCAACAGAGTAGGTGATGTGTTGACATGTGAGTCTACATGAGCCAGGGGTCAGTCAAGTCTTCATCAGTTCAGCTTTCATTCCTCTCTCTCTAGGATTCCAGCAAAAATAATTGTACGTCATGTCCAGTTATATACAGGGTTCAAACCAACAACCCTCCCTCCCCCCACTCCACCCCTCCCAACCCTGCATTTTAAGGGCGAAACTCTAGCACAGTGGTACCACCTGAGGAAAGCATCAGAACAAGGACCAGAAACAAGGCCAGAGGGAAGGAGCTCGGCTTTTCATGGTCATGGTTTCCATGGTGTGTGTGTGTGTGTGTCTGTGTGTGTGGAGGAGAATATTAAGTCTGTAACCTGCTGCCTCTGTTTCCCAGCTCTCAGATGATATCAGATCAGGAATTCAAACACACTGAAATTTCAGCATCTGACCTTGAACAACTACTGTGGATACACACAGCCACTGTGTGAGTGTGTGACACACACACACAGACACACATTTGTTTTTGTGAAGATTCCAAATATATAAAATAACCCCCAGACCTTAATTACCACCAACAAATGACTTATCTTAATCTTTACCCTAAATTTAATCTCATTCTAATCCAGACTACAAACCAAAAGAGCCCCTCATTCAGCAAAGTTTGTTAAATATTTGATGTTTTTTAATGTTTTCAAATATTCATATCAACATTTAATGACTTTAGAATTTAGAAAATATATGTTCACATTTGAGTTCATTTCATTTGAGTAGGTTGAATAATCCACAAAGAAGTAGTACAAACTGAAGAAAGAAAACTGCATAAATGAGGTAAAATTAGACTGAAAGGTGGGTCAGGACTTGACCCATAACAAGTAGGTGTTCAGTGGCTCATGTTTGGTGCCCAGACCAGGTGATGAGTCTTTTCCTGGTGTTAAACCTTGTTCCCAGTCAGTGGGTTGTGTTGTCACAGTAAGGAAACGATACTGCTGAGTCGAGAAGGTAACGTCAACACTACATCCTCCAACGACAGATTATATTTGAATACATCGAATCCCAGATTCCACAACCATCATCAAGAAAGATTTTCTTTCCTGATGATGGTTAGAAAGCTGATTCAACAGGACAGAAGAAGCACACCACTACCCAGACGACCCAACCAGAACATCCCTGCTCCAGATCTATCCCACAAACACCAGATCCGATAAGAACCAGCAGCAACCAGTCTCTGAAGAGCAGAAGAACAACTACACGCTTCCCAGTCCAGGAAATAGAATCATTCAGAACCAGATTAGAGCATCAAAAAAACAGAACCAAACGCAATCAAGGAACCCCAGAACCAAACCTCGGAGAAAAGCAAATTAAAATGAGAAAATATTCTGTGTTTTCGGTATGAGATTAATACAAATTAAAATTTCCTGTGCTGCAATAGCTCTAGGAACAGGATGGGGGCGACACCTGGTTCAAACATGCCCTGCAGAGACAGAAACACACACATTAACAGAGGGCTGGCCTGACCGAGGACCCATAGTCAAGAACAATACAATCACCATCTAATAACAGAACTGACGACACTCCACTCAGACACACTCACACCCTCCTGTGGTGTAGACCTGCTATGACACTTTTCTCTGTCCTGCTGAGGCCCACACATGGCTGACATGATGTCCATTGAGGATAGGTTAGGGTGGGTGTACTTTAGTAATTTGAATAAACCAAATAGACAGTAATGTTATAGCTGACCCTTCCTGTGGGGGCGCTGATGCTGAGGTGGCCCTCAGTTTGACGGCCCTGTTCTAAAGGAACCACAGGCATCAGGACAGTACTGACCTAGCTGTGACTGATGGAGCTGTTCACACCACCCTGTGTGTTTACACATCAACCACTCACAGTGCCGTGTTCTCTGTCACACCCAGTTAACACACCGCCATCCCAGCAGGACGGTAGAAGTGAAACGGGAACAAACTTTAATCTAAAGTCACATGACGTGAAGACTGAGCCGACGAAGCTACGTATAAGTCTGAGTACCCTGGAGTTTGAAGATCCAGAAAACAACATGAAGACCTCTTCAGACACAACATTTTCAGGACAACAACGAGGCTTTGAAGTCACTCCAGTAACAGGTGAATATGTTCTACTACAGAACAACAGAACGCTGTGGTCAAAACATCATCGTGGTGGAGGAACGACCCACGCACAAGAAAAAAACTCAGCATTTGACCAATGACGTAATTCAGTGGTTAGTGTTTTGTTTGTCTTTAGAGTTTTTATGATCTAAAACAAACAAACTAATACTGTAATACTGCTTCAGTTAAAGACTTGGGAAGTAATGCAAGATGCACTGACCTTTGGCCTGTTCCAGGTCTGACTTCGTCTCCTGTTCTGATTGGCTGGGGGGAGTGTATGGTGGGGGCTGTCTCAATGGGGGTGGCGTGATACCTGGTCGCTGCAGAAAAAAAGATGTGAAAATAAATAAATAGAAATGATTTTCTATGACAGAATCTTGGCAAATGTTTCACCAGATGAACATTCTAAGTTTTTTAAACAGATGGAAAATAAAAAGTGCACTAGACGCCATCCTGGTGTATGAATGGATAAGGCTGTTAGCTGCTGCCCTCTGCTGGTGCTCACATGACTCACAATCTTAAATCAGACTAATTCATCCAAATGTACGGACCGCTCCATTATCCAGAAATGTACAAAGAAAGGAATTGTTTTTTTGTTTTTATACATATGTTATACAAATAAATTATATAATCTTAAAGTGTACATTGGGATGGTGGTTTCTGGATGGTTTTTGTTCTTACCGGAGACTCTGTCACTTTTGCTCTGTGCTTGCTGTAGCTGGGAGCTGTCAAGGATGTTGGCTGAAATAAAACGAGACATTTAAACCAGTGCCACGGACAGCTCTGTCATTTACATATGAATTATAATATATATCATGTTTGGGGAATTGATTCATAATTCAACGTCTACACACACACATCTGTGTGGTTCTCTATTTACAACACCTGTCTACAGCTCTTATTCTCTGTGTTAAAGCTGTTGTCCACATCAGTGTAAAACATGTTAGCGACATTCATCACCTCCTCCTCCAACTCCTCCTCTGTGACAATCATGTGACCTAAATGACGGTGTGTTCTCACCCGTGGTGTTGCCGACAGACTCTGGACGATGAAGACGATGGGACTGGGAGCTGATTTAATGACATTCACAGCTTCTTCATGAGTGGCAGTTCTTAGGTCCACACCTGACACCTGTTCTCAAAAAACACACACAGTCGGCTTTAGAAAAGGTGCAGCACCGCAGCAGACAGTGGAACACTCTCTAACAATCTAAGATAAATTATACGGTGTGGTCAGATACTAGGAAAATTGTACTTAAACACTGCCCTCTGGTGGTGGGATGAAGACACACCTTTCTGAAAAGTCATTTGGGTTTTCCCAGTCTAAGACATGATTATCATATGAACCCTGACGTTCATCATGTATAAACAGTGAGACCCTGTCCCACCTCTAGAATCTTGTCTCCTGTCTTCAGACACCCTGTCTCTGCAGCAGGACTTTGTGGCAGAACCTGCTTGATGAAGATTCCCTTCAGCTCCTCTCCGTTTCTCAGGCGTTTGATGACCTGACGACCTCCAACAATGCTCAGGCCCAGAGACTGGTTCTCTTCAGTCCACACCTCCACCCTGAGGTGCAGAGAGATTATTTATTACCCACTGTGAGCCCCACGGGGGAGGGGAGGGGATCATCAGGTAAGTAGCAGGGGAAAAATAAAACATCAGTAGACTGAGTGGGAACTGTTTTTGTAACGTTCCTTCATATGTTAATACGATCTGGTAAAACTGTAAGAATGTTGGGGAACGTAACAACCAGCAAAACTGATTATGAGATTTTTTAATTTCATTTTAGAATTTCCTACAGTAACTTAAATGAAGTGTTACCTGCGGGGAGGCCCCCAGTGGCTAAAGGCAGGAGTTTCTTCTCCCTCCCCTTCCTCTCTTTCAGGGAGATTTCTGTAAAACACACCCATCCACGCACAGTTAATAGTAGTTTCCTGCAGTGGTTGATGCAGAGATAAAGGTGGAGCAGATGTTCCTTACCTCTGTCCTCCTCTGATTGGCAGAGAGGCTCCTCCCTGGTTCCGCCTCTTCCTCCTATCAAGGTCAATTTTCTTCACAGACCTTAACAGAAAACAAATATACAACATTTTAGAGTTTTAACAACAGATAAACATTCCTCACTGTATCTTCACGTTAGAGATATTAACATATATATGAACAATTCTGTATAAAGACATTTTCAGACATAGAAGGAAAAAGGAGCCTGTCCAAGTTGTTACACACATTCACAATCACATTCACACATATGTTCAACAGTGCCCACAAAAAAGCAGGAACACAACGGGAGAACACCCAAACTCTTTCACGTGATTTTCTCGCCTCAAATGCCCTTAAAACTTTGTCCAGCAGAGGGAGATGTAAGACTGTAAAAATACCCACGACAACGACATGATAAAGAGGAGGTGAAGAAGATACTGACTCTGTGTCTGTGTCTGTCAGTGTGAGCTCCGTGTCTGCTTCACTGTCTCTGTAGTCTGACAGAAGAAGAAGAACAACAAAATGTTAGTGAAGGCATGAACAGAATACATGTTATAATCTCATATTTTATCACAAATAAATTTAAAATAAACTAAAACTGGCCAATAGAAGTAGGTCCTCTCACCCAGGAACTGACTTCCAGACACGATGCTTTCACGGTCTGATCTTTGCTCTTCTTCATCCTCCTCTTTTCTCCAGCTCTGAGAAGAGGCAGCACATTAATAATGATCAAAAATATATATATTTTTAAAAGTTTCAGTTGCTAAACTCATCCTGTCCGACTTGTCTCACCTTCTCTGATCCAGTCCGGCTGGAGGACAGTTTCCACTCCTCCCATGATGGGGGTGGTTTCCTAGGCAGAGAACTAATCATGCCCTTTTCTCTTTCCTCACTCTGTTCCTCAACCTCCTTCACACCCTCTTCCTCATCATCATCCACAGTCATCTCCATTCCCTCTTTCACAGGCACAAGGTCAGAGGTCACAGAGGCAGTGGTGTAGCGAGGCAGACCTCCATCCAGGATGAGCTCTTGTTCATCAACTTCATCTTCTTCTTCTCCCTTTTTGTGTCGAAGATCTTCAGGGAGGATGGAGCCATCACCAAAACCCTGAGACATGGGAACAGAGGAGGATGAATCAGTCAGACGACATGATCAGAAGTTACAGTTTATAAATATGGAACTGACAGGTCTGAGTGAAACAAACATTTGACTCGTTTAAGTGATGAGGATCCAAGAACAACATGATGGTTGAATATGTTCAAGTCAGTAGAGCATCAAACACCCCGCCTCCCCCTGCCACTCACTCCCCAAGGACAATGGACTGGTCAATGTTTATACTTTTTTTAATCTACTGTACAACATCCTGGTCATTGTTTTTGAGAAATCAAACTTTTAACAATGGCAATATTAGGTTATAGCTGTGCATTCATTTGGTCAATATTATTGGAATATTCTTATTAACTCCTCATTTAAAAAATATTTTTTAATCCAGTAGTCTTGTTTTTGTTTGTTTTTTTCTAGAGATGCTCTTGCAGGATCGGCTGTACCGATCTCCCCCAAATATTACTACAGTATTTTTGGATGTCCACTGCGTGGTTCAGTCCACTTCTGGCTATGACCATTTCTTATATACAGTCTATGATGATGAGAAAGCGTGGACGTCCAGCCAATAAACAGCCTCTCCTCCTCTAACCTGCTCCATTATTGGTCTCCTCTCAGGGACCAGTTTTTAAAGCAGGATGGAAACAGTCCTAGAGCTACTTCACTCCAGTCACTTGATTTACACACAGCTATAGGAATATAATGGAATTGTTGATTAATCATGTCAGAAAATGCTGCCAAAGGTACATTTAATCTGTGCTCAGTAAAAATGTCCAGGCCTGTATTCATCTTTTTTTAACACACGTCAAATCGTGTCACCTCGGTCTGACCTTTTAACCCCCGGAAGATTATATACATTTGACCCAGAGCTGCAGGATAAGGTGAGGCCAGCTGAACATGACCTAACGAAACTCTCTGAAAATAAAGTTTGCTCAATTGGATCAGAGAACTGGTTAAAGTCAAACTGTTATATTTTTAACACTATTATATTTATAAAATTTGTACTGTACTTTAACACAGGATCAGAACAAAACTAAAGACAGTCACCGACTCTGAAAACCAGTTTGACCTCTGACCTTTTCCTGTAAAGTCTCTGAGGGTTTTCTGGGAACCAATTACATCTCATTGACAGAGAAGAATAATGGATTTTGGACTGAGAATCAGAAGTTGGACGTAAAGACTTTTGCATTGGTCTCCTCAGATATGGCACCAAAAAAGACCATTCATATTAGACCTGGCACGTCCTGGAGACAGTTCTGTTAAAGAATGGAGGTCCGGCATTAGATGTAAAAAATAAAAAGATGGATGAATATGAAGGAAGACATGACCATGAAGGGAAAGGTTGGAGAATCCTGTTTTAGTTGAGTGCATCGTCATCCTTTGACAAACGTCATCTTTTGGCTTATCCAATAATACAGAAAACTTGGACAAAACCTTTTCATTAGCTGGATTAAAATAAGCAGTTTTTTAGCAGGTCTTAGTAACTTCTAAAATAACTTTCCCTATCAATCAGAGACATTTAACTTGAAAATATTTATTTTAACTGAAGCACGTTTGCTTAATTACAGCCACAGTCACTGTATATTCCTGCACCTTCAACCAAACTGCTAATTAAAACAGCTTATCCATGACACACCAGGTGTGCGTGTCCAAGGGAGTGTATCTTGTCATTCTAGACCAGTCCTCTCTTTTATAAATGTGGTGTGAATGTAAAGGTTTGATCTTCTGACTAAAGTGATGATAACAAGGCTGACTCACAGAATCAGAGGGAAAATAATCAAAGGTAAAGAATAAAGAACGTCACAGACGTACGATGGTATCGTTACGTCCACTCAGAGGAGAAACCAAAGTGAAAACGGCAGCTAACGCTGAAGCTGAAGTCCACTTACTTTGAACATTTGCCTTTATCTTTGATCACCTAAAGGCTTTCTCCAACTCCCTAAAGAGCCTTCCTCAGCACATACTGAGACTGTATCCTGTTCTCAACATTACGATGCAGACATTAGCCTGGCCGGGAAATATTAACGACAACACTTAGGCTAATTTCCATCGACGAAGCCTCATCTTCAAGGACTCTGTTCCTCTTCTTTTAATTTGGGCCTGGGAAGCCGGCCCATCGTGGCCATATAATGGAGGTGAGGAGCAGACGGCGGCAGCAGCAGCAGAGAGCTCATAACGCTAACAGGATGTGGTGTAGACTGATGTGCATTGGCCGTGACTGCTTGGCCTCACATTCATAAGATATAAAGACACTGTCATTTAATATCTCTGCCATTAGAGGATGAGGACAAGGGAGAGAGGGAGGCTTTCAGACTGGGGGAGCGCTGAGCCCCAGGAGGAAGTTCAACAGTTGAACGCACGCACGCACACAAACTACTGAGTTATGACAAAGTTTGGAGAACGCTCCAATTTGCCAAAAAAAGTTTAAAGCTTCTGCTGCTGAGTCTCACACACAGACTGTGGGAGAAGGAGAGTTCATTCAAAACAATGTAAACAGAAGCTGTTCAATTTTGCTATAGGCGGGGGGGTGGGAGGGAATGGGGTGGGAGAGGGGTGTCTGGGGTACAATACAAAACAAATCTGCAGATGTATCATTACATTTTTTTTAAACTGTGTTTACATTTTGTTGGATGGAGAAATTGTGATTTATATTTTCAGCATATTTAATATCTCTGTGTGTATATATTATTATTACATTTGTTTTGTACATTAGTAGTAGTATTTATGTTTCAGTCTTCACTACAATTTAGTTTGCCACTGAACATGTTGTTCTATTTTATATATCATTTATTATTAATAAATTTCATTTCTTTTTATTTCCGAGCATATTAACTGCTGTATGTTGCGTCAAATAAAAGTCATTTGTTGAGTTATCTCCTTGTTAGGACGTGAGGTTGGAGATGCAGTTGAAAATGTAAGTATTTTTTCATTGTAAACTAATTCAATTATTTTGAATTCTTCTTCTTCTGTCACACTTTTGGAATTTGTGCCTAAAAAAAGTTCCTTCTGTCGTGCTGAGCTTTAGGAAAAACAAGTTGTACAACCACAAGTGGGAATGTGTTTGTAACAACAACAATAATGTTGTAATGTTGTAAAACCCCTGTGATTTCACACAGCAGTTTGTCCACAAACAAACCACATTATAGAGGACTCATATTTGTTTGAATGGAACTCCAGAAGTAATCAAACTTACAGTGAGCTGCAGTTTTATGTTTACTCTGAGTACTGCAGTACTCAGTGTACTGTTGCTGGAGGACCAGAGTGTCCTTAAAGAACCCCCCCCCCCAACCCCCCCCCCCCCTGCCTCACTTAAGAGAGAGATAGAGAGAGACAAGGGGGGGGGGGGGGCTTGTTTGGGAGCTGATAGAGCACTTTCTACCAGCCAAGCTTCCAGCTGAGTCAGCAGCTTCACAGACGGAGAGGGAGAAAGAGGGAGAGAAGGTGAAAGAGAAGGGTAAAGACAGAAGAGTGGAGGGGAGATGATGGAGGGGAGATGATGGAGGAGAGGAAAGGAAGGAGGGGACAGACAGAGGATTAGATAAAACCAACCTTTAACACCGACAGAGTCAGACAAACAACGGAAAACATTTTGGTTTCCAGTGTTTTACAGACTCCCGGTGATTCCTGCCAGATCTAGTTCCAGGTCTTGAATACTCACAAAGCATAAAGAATTAAAAAGTGATGTGTTCAAATAACTGAAATCACTTAACTAACATTAAAAAAAGGAAAGAAAATGTTCCTTTTTTCAAGTTTCACATTTGGTTAAAATGTGTTATAAATGTTAATAAGGCCACAGAGCTGAAACTCTGACTACAGTCAGTACACACCAGTACATGTTGTATACAGTGAGTGTAATAAGTCCAGGGGGGGTAATAAATATGATAAATGCCCCCCGCTGCATTTGTGGTTGGTCCTTCATCACTCTCTGTATCTGACGTTGTTAAAGTTCCTACAGTCTGAGCTGCAGCTCTTTACTCCCGTCAGCTTTCACATATATTTACATTTATTTATTCATTTATTTTAAGGGATTTTTTTTTCAACAGTCAAACAGTTGTGGTGGAACAGTTTGTCTCTCACCAGTAAACTGAGGTGAAGTGAGTTAAGACAGGAGATAAAGAGGAGACACAAGAGATTTAGGAGCAAAAGATGGATGGAGGTGCAGGGTTGAGCCAGTGACGAGGAGGAGCACGAGGAGCAGGGACTAAGGACAGGAATACAGAGAATGATTTCCAGATTTTAGAAAATATTCTTCTAGATTTTAGAGACTGAATATATTACTGATATCAAACTGTTTTTGTTCAAAATCTTTTTCTCTCAAACCACGGTACAAAATTAAAATAGTTGATTTTTAAACTATAGCCCACAAATAGTTGATCCACTGCTGACTCTGTCAGTACACAAGATCTAGATCTAAAATGTTCTACGACTCCACAAAATATAATAAAATAAGTTTTACAAAAAGCTCCCTGAGGGGTCAGAAGACTTCTCTTCATGTTGCTCTTTAGTTTCCCTAAAGATCCAGGGGGCGCCAAGTCACCATCAATCCTTTCTTTTTCAAAATGTGTCCAGGTTCTAGAATCGTGTTTCCCTTGTGATTCTGCAGCCATGTGATTCCAGTTATACCTCTGTGTGTGTGTGTGTGTGTGTGTGTGTGTGTGTGTGTGTGAGAGAGGTACCTTCGGTACAGGCAGCTGAGTGTTGCTGAGAGAAAACTGACTGCTGTCTGCTCTGCTCATCTCTGATGCCTCCACCTGCACAAACAGCCCCCCAGCCCCAGAGTTAATCAACATGTTTGACAATATCCCATGTGAAAACCAACTTATTTGGCACCAACAGCAACAGTTTGTTGGCTGGAGAAAAGTCATGAAATCCAGGTGAACCTGGAGAAATCTTAGACAGAAACAGTCTAAAGCCACAGCAGGTTTTTTTTCTATGCAGAACATAGAAAAATGTCGACAGTTGGTGTGGACCTACGGGAGTAAAGAGTCGAGAAGGAACAAAGAGGTCTCAGCCACCAATGATTCTTCAGACCTGCTCTGATGTCCAGACATTTTACTGACCATGTCCTGTACAACACCTGCTGTCACTTAGACATGGCTGCCTGTATCATTTGCACAGCACTGTATGTCTGTTAACATCATCTGCCACCAGATTATTTACCGCAGGTGAGGTCTGCATTTTGAACACAGCTGTGTGTTCAGCCTTGTGTGGAAGTTCAGGAAAAGGAATTTCCTGCTTCTACCACAGTTTGTCCAAACATGAGAGACACAGTCAGAAAAATGTCCAGATCCTGTCAGATTTCTGAAGCTGCTGTTTAAAAGTGGAGGGATTTTTTTTTTCAGAAATGTTATTAAATGTTGATTGACATTTAAGTTCCTTCCATCTGCAACCAGAGAAGTAGAAGAGAGCCCTTCAGAATAAAAGCCTACACACCATGATCAGCCGTCTGAGGCCTTTGGCTCCCTGTGTGTAAAACAAAAGCACATGTTGTGGACTGTGATCTTGACAGAGTAAATACAGAGTTATTCTGAACCAGGGTCCAGGACTGAGTGTGGACAACTTCAAGCTTTGGACCCACGTTCTGGCCTTGAACTATAAGGTTTAGGCCCAAAGACAGTTCATTCTCCAGCTCCACAATTTCAGTCTTACCACCAAAGGCTTTCTGATACCCAGGCGGACTGCTCCAGGCGGGGCAGATTTCAAGACCTCCACAGCCTGGGCCAAGGTAAGCAGGTCCAGCTGGGACTGGTTGACTGAAACCAGCTGGTCTCCAGGAAGTAGACCACCGTGACGCTCCGCTGAGCCACCAGGAACCAGAGAACGAATCACCATGACGCAGCGCCCGGCGTGTAAAGGGTCCTGGAGAGAAGGAGAGGGGAGGAACGAAAAGAGGGGGAGAAAGAGAAGCAGAACATGAGAGAACTTCAAACAGATGACAATTCTTATCAAACCTGAGGTCAAGGAGGTACTTAAACATTTAATGTCAGAAACATCCAGATGAAGTGTGAAATTATTGGCTTTGTAGTTCCTTCTTTTCAGTCAAAGTGACTGAAGTCACCACAGGAAAGAAGAAAGTCATTGAAGACTAGTTCCTTGGTACAGAAACTGGTCATGAATCCAAAAAAACAAAACATGAAATGTACCATGAACACACCACAACAGATCAACATTCTGTACCAAACTCTTGTTCTGACTGGTTCAGTTCTACACTGAACTGTTCTAACAGCAGGCAGAGGAACGTCAGTGAATTCACACTGCAGCAGAGCAGGGTGAAGGCAGGGCAACAGAGAGACAGACAGGGGGAGACAAAGACCAGAGAAATGACATTTGCATGACACACTTATACACAGACACGGAGTTACAGCAGACATGATGACGTGTGGTTGGTGGAAAGAAGAGACTTGAGTCTAATCAACTGACTGACTTTACCTTTTTTCTTAGGGTCAAAGGTCAGTGAAACACTAGTACACCCCCACACACCTTCATAGGGCATGTAACAAATACATTTGTAAAAAGTGGCTTGTATTTTTTTAGTAGATTTTCCACTGTAGCTACTGAAATTTAAGGCAAAAGTTAGAAAATAAATAAAGACAATAATGAAGAACAGTCAGACAAAAGACTGGGAGACAAGGAAATGGTTCATCATCATCCTCTGAAATGAAGGAGAGTATAAAAACCTTAAACATTTCATACCGTGAACTTTATTCTTCATGTATATGTATTTAGATGTTCTACTTCCACCAGTGGAACACGTCTGCATGTTCAGCTGACCTCCTGTTCACCAAGTTGGCATCAGAAGTGCAGCGAAAACTGACAGAGAAACTTCAGACTGTCCTGTTCCTTGCATGAAGCTGAAAAAAGCCCTCCTCCTCACAGCCCTCATCTCTGCTTCGTCTGTTTAACCGCAGGAACCAGGAGAACATCCCAGGCCTGCCAGAATCTAAAGCCCTCAGAGACTCACATGCCAACCATACAACCCTCTCCTGGTTAAAGTAGATGTGAAAAAACTCCCGTGTTGAACCCAGGGCCTCGCCGGCACTGCAGTACGAGCTGCTGTGCCAAGTTTCAGGCTGCCAGAACAAAAGACGGGCTGTATTTTTAGACAGTACACATGGCTACAGGTGGTGAGGAGTCAGAACTTCACTCCTCTACTCCTACAAGATCCTCCGGAAAAAGAAAGGCCTCTCCTGTCAAAAAGTGGAGAAAGCATGGGAAGAAAAAAAACAAACAACTAAAGTGTGGGGAAAAGAAAAAAAAACAGAAATTAAACAAAAATATTCTCTGCCAAAAGTAGAGAAAACAATGGATTTGTTTCTGTCTTTTGCTTTTTGGATCTGTAGGTTGTAGGGCGTCTACACTGAGCTGGACTTTTTCTGACCTTCATGATAGAAACTCTGGATGATTTTACTACTGACATGAACAAGAAAATAAAGTATTTTAGAAGTTTTGGACTTCACTTCAGAGTCATGTTGTATGTTTTATATTACAATATGCAACTTAACATCAGCCACAACTGTACAGGCTGTTAGGAGTGTATGGTTGTATATATTTCTGATGTTACATTTGTATTCTTTCAATCTCTTTATATCATATAAATCAATGTACAGAACAATATCATCATATAATTAATATATAATTTAACTTTTTTAACACCTACAAAAACATTACTGTTGTTTTTGTCTTGGTCTTTTAACAACAGTATAAACTGTTCCATACTGCTGTGATGTAGAATCCATTCATCCATCCATCTATCAACTAAAAGCAGACAGAGTTGCTGCTGGTCGAGTAAACAACCGAGAGTCGGTTCCAGTGTCCCACTGTCTACAGGGTGGAACACGACCAACAGGAAAAGTTCTATTTGATGGGGAGGAAAAAACAGACTTGATGGATGAGTCTCTGTATTTAGAAAAGAACTCCATCACATTCTCCAGGTTTGAAACTGGTCACATTTTAGAAAGTGTCAGGTTTTAGTGGAAACTATCAGCCCGAGTCCAGACACACAGATCAGATCGGCTCTTCTCTTATTGCCTCCAAACATCTTTCACTCAACTCTGACAGCAGCAGTGTCAGTAACAGGAAACACTTTGGCAGAGACACCACAGCCACATGTCCTTGGGTGAGAGATGAGGGGAAGATGAACAGAGGGAGGGAGAGGAGCAGAGGAGTCTAGTGAGGAGGGACTTAATATATTTATATTTCGTAAAAAAAGAAGTTTAGTTAAAGTTTAACAGACTGATTACTGGTCCTTTTCAACTTAATTAGGAAAAAAATATTTGATTTTTTAAAATCATTACTGGTTTTTAAAGGTGGACTCTGTAGAGTTTACAGAATCAGAAACTTCATTATTTCAGCATTTCTATTAAACACGTATGTATGTATGCAAACACGTGAAACAACATTTTTTAATTTTGTATTCATTCAGTTCTCATCTGCTCACATATGTTCTAATATTGGTCCTATAATTTTATTTTGTAATATTTTAGTTAGGTTTTTTTTTTTTGCCAAACTTTGAAAACTGCTCTGTGAGAATATTGTCTTACGTAAAACTGGCCCATGTCATATGAAACTCTGAAACATCAGAGTCAGAGAAAAAAAGTTGTATTTAAAGGACAAACATTTAAAAACACATCTGATCAGTTGGTCGTAGGGGAACAAATGCTAATATATTATTCAATGTTCAATGTCATGAATTGAATAAAAGAAAAAAAAAAATGTATCCGATAGAGAAAAAAATAAAAAATAAAACAAATGAGAAGACAGTGCAGACAGCGGTGACACTGGGGTCACCCTTGTTCCTGTAACTGGAGCTGTTTATGTTTGGTCTCAGACTCCAGACGTTCTGAAGTGACTGTTTAATGATTCTGACAAAAAGATCAATACACACACACACACACATACTAGAGTAATATTCTCCAGCTTAGTTTACACTTCAGGATTTGACAAATGACTCTCTATAATATTCAGTGACGTTTCTTTTTTGTGTGGTTCAGATTTCTCTCTAATTACTTCTCTTTAAACACAGCAGCTGGAAAACACTGTGTGACAGTGAACCTGTGTAGACAGAGGTCAGAGGATTTGACTCCTGAAGTCACAGTGAGCTCTGCACTGTGTGTTCAACTGGACTTTTATCGTCTTACTCTTCTGAACTCCTTGTCTTGGTCTTTATTTCCTATTTCACCTCTTTTCTCAAGATTTAGTTTTTTTACACTAACATGCAGTAACACAAAAGTGACTCTTGGGCAGTTTGACCTGAATGGACTGACGGAGAACAGGTGAATAAGGAATAAAGAAAGGAGAGAAACGGAGACACAGAGCTGACGGAGGAGGAGAGACAAACACTAAGATCCAGGAAAAGTTTGCGTTTTCTTTTTTTACAGTTGAAGTTCAAGCACTTTTTTAAACTCAGTTCCTCACTGCTCCAGGCTGTTCTCTTCCTTAGCCTACATCTTTTCTTTAGAATATAGTTAAATCATTTGAAGCAGTTTGGTGTCATTCTCTTAATGCTTTTTCTGGTGTTTTTTTGTGGCTGTAAATAAATCTCACTCGAACTTCACACATTTACCTTTACTGTGAAGGACTGCCAGGCCCCTGTTGTTCTACTCCGGTGTGTTTGTGTAGTTTGTGTGTACTGTGACTTTCTGGTCATCGTGATCTTACCTGATAGTCCAGGATGCTGAAGCCCAGACCTTTGTCTCTCTCCTTATGCAGCTCCAATATATGGACATCAGGAGACCATAAAGCCAGCTCCCCTTCTTCTTCTTCATCATCGTCATCATCCTCCTCATCTTCTTCCTCTTCTTCATCATCACTGTTTTCATCTTCCTCCTCCTGGTGCTGCAGCGTCTTCTCCTCCTTCACCATCTCACCCTCTACAGGAGCGTCCTGCTCCTGTATCCACGGAAAACATGTTTTATTATGAAGTGACAAAATTTTTGGACAAGAACAAGAATTACAAGTTAGACCAACAACAAAATCTTCAGTGTTTAACCAAGAGGTGAATTATCTTCAAGTCAAAAAACATTTTTTTTATTTTGATTTTTATATTTATCATTTGCAGGAAATTAATGTTGTTGTTCTTGTCAATGTTCCACATCTCTAAATTAGAAGATGTGATTGGCCGATGTCCGAGGGCTGAGGGTTACTCTCTGGATAGTTAACCAGTCAAACACCTACTGTGTAATACTCCATCATCAGTCCAACCAACCTCAACCCGATACGATGATCATATGATATTTTCCAATTGCTCTGATTAATATGTTCATGTGACACAGTAACACAGCAGGTGACATCAGTTACCTGTCTGACTGTCAGCTGCTGTTTTCCAACACGGTCTCCACTAGAGACAGTCTGACTGCAGAGCAACGAGGACAGTTTCAGCTCAATCTTTCAAAGACAAAACACAACACAGTGGTATTTTATCAAAGTGATACGACATGGGGAATAGTCTGAAGAACTGTAGTGTTCAATAGATTAACTTAAATGTTAATCTCATATTAATCTGAACCGTATCAGACTGACACCTCCATTCTTCTCTCACCTCATCCACACTAACTTCTGATCTTCCTGCTGTTCTGAGTCCTGGCTGCAGCACTGGTTCAGGTTCAGACTCAGTTTCAGAACCTGGATCTTGTTCCAGGTCAGAGGTCGGGTGTCGGCAGCAGACCAGGGTAAAAGGGGGAGGAACCTCTTTGAGGAAGGCCACTACCTCCCGACGTGACTTACCATAGAGCTGAACATCATTCACCTGAACAGAAACACATTATTTTATTATTATGAAATCATCAAATAAAACATTCACAGCTTAAAAATGTGATGGAGAAATGTTCAGGTTCTACCTCCAGGATCTCATCTTCAGGTCTCAAGACTCCATGATTATCCACGGGGCCCCCGGGGGCCACTGATGAAATATAATGGTGACCATCGAAGGAGTCCAACTCTACCCCCAGACGGACAGTGTGCACTGGCAACAGCTGCATTGACAGGGAAGAAAAGAAGAAACAGTCTGGTGATTGATCCTGGTTCATAAGAGGAAATCAGTGAATAAAGAAGGAAGTTTGAGTTGTCACAGTGTGAGAATCTTAGTCAACACTCACAGACAGAAGTGACTCTCACCTTGGAGGATTTCTGCAGCTCTTCATCATCTTCAATCACAGGGTCCAAATTCACCACCTGAAAACCAAATCAAACACAACACCATACCTGTGTTTTACAATTTCAAATCTGATGCTGAAATCAATGAGTTACAAAAACACAAGATGACATCACACCATCAATGAAAGGATTTCTGCAGCGATATCAGCTAATACAATAAATAAGAAATAAGATTTAAAAAGGGTTGGATTAAAAAAGTGAAAAATTATAAAGTGACTTCAGCAAATAACAGTTCATCCATTTAAGAAGTGTTTTCACTTCAACGTGTCGGCTTCACAGACAAAAATAAGGTTTAGTAGCAGATCATTCCATCGCAAACAAATACGTCTGAGTGTGTGAGTGTGTGTGTGTGTGTTCTCTCACCAGGACTTGATACTGTGGTCCCAGAGCCTGAGCCCATTTGGCCCTCAGTTCTGCTTCTGTGGCTGCAGAGAGAAGAAGACAGAGACAGAGAGAGATCAGACAGATTAGTAATGAAATACATAAATGTCATTTTTAACAGAATGTAGGAAACAGGAATGAGGTGGGGGGCGGGGGGGGGTAATATAGATTTGGCAACACTAATAAACAGCACATGTATAATATCCAGATAGTTTAGTTAGGTAAATAATAAAAGCATGACATCATGGATGATAGATTCTTACAGCATTGTTTACAGAAAATGACTTTGTAAATTCTCAGTTTGTGTGTGTGGGTGTGTGTGTGTGTGTGTACAGTAGGTGATATTTTTAAGGCAAGCGTCCTAAAAAATCAATATTATTTATGTACATTGGGAAACTGAGGATTAATGACAGTCACGTTGCTGGGATCTTTATTTTGCAGAGTCAGGATATTTGAAGGTCCACAAACCTCTCAGAGGAAGGTTCACAGGTTTAATGGTTTTAATATATACACACTAGAGTGGGAACACGCATGAATAAATCATCTTTTATGTCTTAGAACTTTCTGACTTTGGTTTGGACCACATCTGTGTCAGAACCACAGCTGCACCGCCTGTGGCTACACCTCTGCTCCATCACTGGTTCAGTTTACTGGAATTCACTGACCAGGAGAATGTGTCTGTTAATTTAGCAACTTCCACCACACACTATGTAAACATCCAGGTTTGATGTGTTCTGTGGAGTGGAGTGACTACAGCTGTTGAACGCTGAAGCCCTGACAGTCTCAGCAGATCAGTGACCAGCGCTGTGAGAAGAAGCAAATCCACAGTCTCTGAAAACCTTATGGAACTTCACAGAAGAAACCGCCATAAAATTAATCTCAACCATGGTTTCACTCGTTGAGCTGTTTCACAGCAGAGTTCCAACAACAACAGCCTCTGATTAAATTAGCAATGCTACCCTCACACAGTCTGTAGTCTGTAGAATCACAGTGATGCATTATTCTGTGATTCTGTCAGGAAGTTCAGAAGCTTCACATCTGTGGGTCTGAAACTGTGTGTTAAAGGTTAGCATTGTGTGTGGCTGCTTAGTAAAGCTAACATTTTTCAGACAGTAGTGCAGTGAGACGTGTCTGTAGGTAGAAGTGTTAAACTGGATATGAAGTTTAACAGCCAGTTTAATCTGGGCGTTTAGTTATGAGTAAATATCAGGGATTTAATGATGCTCAAAGCTGTAGAAAATAAAATGGGTGGTTAAAAAAAGTAATTTGGTTTTATGCAGTTTTACCAGCTGGTTAACACTATATTTATGTTTTAGGATTGGAGCTCAGAGCTATGACACCAACCATTTCCCCTATTTTTTAACTAAGAGTCAAAATGTTATTTATTAGTGTGTCTGAAGAAGCAGCCTCACCACACTGATGAATGAAAAGACAGATTTGGGAAATGCACTTAGGAACCCACCTTACATATTATATTGTACAGAAAATAGGAAAGTTCATGACCTCTGTTCTACATTAACACTTTTATTGTGCAGCACAGGTATTAGTTCACGGATATGTTCTAAAAGAAGAAAGGAAATCACCTCTGTTCAGCTGCACTGCACTGCTCAGTGCTGCCTCCGACCTGCGGCCTGAGGAGTCAAACTTAGAGCGAGATGAACGGGACTTGACCTCCAGTGACCTGCGCTGTGACAGGAGAGACGACTCCCTCTCCACTAAGACAACGAGGAGACAGACAGAAAAAAGGTTTACAGATGAGTAGCAACAATGTTGATAATGAACCACAGTCACAGATCAGCTGATTAATGAGAATGTTTTCACGTTTTCATGCAGTAAATGAAACTTGGCAGCAAACAAACTGGAGAGAGAAGTTAACTTCAAAGTTAACTTCAAACCAAATCGTTCAGTCATTGATTTCCCACAAGTCATCAGGTTCAGTTCTCCAGTCGACCACACAGAGACAAAAAAACATTCACACTCGCATTTCAACCATTCATGTCAGCATTCACACTGACATTCTAACCCAGAGTCACAGTTTATATTTTAAGAGGATCCTAACATCTTGGACGTTTCATGTTGGACTTTTTGCAAAGCCTATGTAAACACATGGCTCTGGCCCAAACGGAGTCCTTGTAATAATCTGACTGATTGTTACTTCTGAAGCTGCATCTGATTTCACTGTCTCTTTCTTCACACCACTTCCTGAGTTGTTTCAGTGGATAAAAAGGAGCCAAACGACATGTAAATTATAACATGTTATAAACCTGAGGGTGAACTCTGCAGCTGGGCACGTCTCTATGTTTTTGTCAGTAAAGAAATAAGAAACGTCTGGAGGAGATAAGAGCCCTGCTCTCCTCCACTCCTTTTAAAATCACTTGTTTCCCTCTGGCCTGCAGGCTGACCAGCGCATGCTGCCGTGCCACCGCGCGACCAAAAAAATGACCCTGTACTGGGAGAATTAATCTCTCCGGACGCGAGCAGAGGAGGAATCTCAGACTTTCTGCTGAGAGTTTGGGAAAATTGCACAAAGTTGTAAACAAATTTGTCATTTTAATCTAGGTGAGAGGACAAGAGGCGGGAAAAGGTTGAAGACAGGAAATAGGAAGAAAAGCTGTGATAACTTTTACACAGTTAACTTCTCAAACAGAAGCAGAATATTAATGACTGTTTCTTTACATATTATCTTATCAAACACTAACAGAGAGACACCCTTGGAAGTTTGAACCACAAACACGTGCAGCTGAAACAGATCGCTCCTACCTTTATCCAGGGATCTCTCCAGGGCTCTGGGTTTCTTCCTGACCAAAGTCAGAACCACAGTCTGACCCGTCTGCTTCATCACCTCCAACACCTCCTGATTGGTCATACCATGAAGACTGACTCCGTCCATCTGGAGAGACAGACACAGGAAAAAACCAGTGCAAAAAAGTACAAAAATACAGTTCTAATAAAGTTTCGACAGAGAGGTTGAAGGTCTTACGGCTAGCAGTCGGTCGTAGACTCGAATGTTTCCACTCTGGTCTGCAGCGCTGCCTGGGACGACATATTTGACAAAAACACCAACTGCATCTAAACAGAGTCAGAGACGAGTGGACGCAGATTAAAGCCAGTCAGACAAATGTCAGACATTTGTGAAAATATTCTGCAACATCAGAGTCTCCACTTCAAGGAATTTTCCAGGAAACGCCCTGTCAATATATCAGCATCATGTTCAACTAAACAGGCTCAGTGTGAGTACATTAAAACTAAAACATCACCCTGACCATGTTTTTAAGCGACCTAATAAAATCATGAGTTTATTTCGTTATATAAACTTCACTGAACTACAACACTTTTTTGCGCAATAATGACCCTGACCAGGTTTTTAAGCGACCTAATAAAATCATGAGTGATTTTTTTTGGGTGGAAGAACTATATTTACACTCTATATTTAATTGCAAAAATTAGCAGACCATTGCATCATAATTGAGACTGTGAATGAATGTGCCAGTGAAAGTACTTGTCTTCTGGATTTGTTCACACTGATCTGTCACAGTAGAAAGCCAATCATGGCTGCAGTCAGCCTGAGATAATGAAGCTGATGGTACAATAACATGTTTCCCCGCTGCTCCCACCTTGGCTGGTCAAAGGATTGTAACCAATGATGGAGATGCCGAGGCTCTGGCCGTCTTTTTTTGTTAGTGGAACTTCATGGATCTCATATCCTTCCAGGTTTGGCTAAATAAAAGAAGAAACATCAGCAACAACTTATAAATCATGAATAAAAAATAAAAACTGACATCAACTAACAATCAACAAGAAATGGAGAAGAAAAATTCAAACACGGCTTCTCACGGTCTTGCTGATCCGATGTTGTGGTACAGAGACGGGGCGCTGTGGGGGCAGATCAGGGAGCCGAGGGGGTAAGGAGGACACAGGAGCAGAGTCTGGAGGTGGAGGAGGTGGTGGAGCTGTTGGCTTCTGACCCTGAGGTTCTCTGGCAATCAGCATGGTCACGTGACTACCACATCCCTGCAGGACTCTGACAACTTGGTCGCTGGTGAGCCCTGTGGTGGGCGTCGCCCCAATACGTAAGATGTGGTCACCTGTGCGAAGACGTCCATCCTGACAGGAAAAACAGTGACACTTGAATGGACAAAATCAGAGACATTAAAGATGAAGCCAAGTATGATCCAACAGCATCAGACAGACTGATCTGCCGCCAGGTTGTCCTCTTTTATGTGATGTCATCATTTTACTTTATAGTTTTTTTCTTCTCAACACATTTGATTAGAAATCTCAAAGTTACAGCAAAGTAAAAGTTAAAGTAAGTCACAACACATTGATAACCAGCAGAACCGGTCATGTCTACATCATATAAACGCTCTATGATGGTGTTTTTTTATTTCTCCTGTCACACAGTTCAGATCTACAAAAAGTTGAGGAACACTTAAAAAATAAAATGAAGGTGAACAGTTTATATTGTCAATCAAAATCTTGGTCAATGAACAACATTAATAGGTGTTTATCAATTTCATGTCCAAACAGGTTAAAACTCAATAGAGCGGCTTCAGTCCAGCCTCAGTTTGAAACTCAATACATCACATGGTAGAGCGGCTTCAGTCCAGCCTCAGTTTGGGCAAAACGTGTTTATCTGAGGCTTTAAAGGCTCCTGCTTCCAGTCTTTTATGAGGTCAAAGTGAGAGGAAAGTGGTTAAAAACCTCTATGTCAGACCCATTTAGCTGCTGCAGAGAAATTTATCTTGTCCAATTATTCTAATTGATCCAATTAATCTCGTAGCAGAGTGATAATTCCTCTTTGAGTTTTCCTGCTGCTGTCAGCCCTGACGTACGGCCCGTGTGCTAATGCCCAGATGAAAACATCCACTGCCTGAACTTCCACAGTCACCAGCCATGTTGCTCATACTCACACGGACGTAAATAGAAATTTATGAGGACAACATCAGAGGACTTTGTCCCTACCTTGTCAGCCACACTGCCGGGGATGAGTGTCCTGACCACCACTCCTGTCATCTTCCCTCCTACGATGCCGAAACCCAGACCAGAGCCGTCGTTCATCAGTTCGATCTCTTCAACGTGACCCCACTGATCCTGCAGCAGAGGACAGAGGAGACACTGGACTTCAGTCTGGACGGAAAGTATTTGATGCAATGGCATGGGAGTGACCATGGAGGAACAAGGAACTGTGATTTAATCTTAATATATCATCATGTCTATAGTATCGCAGTATATAATACGTATCGTCTCACTAGATTCTGGCTTACATGTTTTTGATATGCACCCAAAACAACAAGTTTAGTTTTGTTCATCAGAACTTAGTCTGTTTCTGGGATTTTCTTTCCCCCAGAAACAGGCTTACTCTAAGACATATTGAATTGTGCACATATTGCAAAGTGATTAGCATAATTCAAATCGAAATCAGGCCAATCAGGATGTCTCTTTTTGATGCACACTCACTCTGCCATACTTACAAGTTCTTGCTCATTTTTTAAAAACGTAACTTCTGGGATATTTGTGAGTATTTTATGATAAATTACACATTTTGGATGATGTAGAAATATGAAGATAAAGGTTGAAATGACAAAAGGGCAACAGTGACAGGCAGATAATCAATAGTTACATCATTTTCTGAATACATTAAACATATGTGGTTTAGCAGTAGCAGCGGTGACCACAGACGCCACTATTTTAGGTACACATCATACCATATCAGGAAGCAGCAGCTGAACGTCTAATGAATTGTTAGACTACAGTAATGACTTTACATTTACACTGCAGTCACAGCAGTAACAGTCACAGCTGCCGGCTGGCTATCTGTCCTGAGGTGAGAGGTCATTAAAGGGAACCTCAGCAGGTAATTACCAGCTCAGAGCATTTCCTCCTCTCTGATACCAGCTGCTGATCAATGGGAGGCTGCAGCAGATACCTGCACACGCACACACACACACACTCACCAACACAGCCACACCATCTTTATGAAGTGGCTGTAATCAGAAGTGGCTCTGGTCTCTTATTACAGCTGTGATCTGATAGAGGAGGCCTTCTTCTGTCTAATGAAATGACCTCCTCCTCCTCCTCCTCCTCCTCCTCTAACCCTGGTACTGTACACTGTAGGAAAACCTTTTCCAGATAAAGTCAGCTCACTGAGAATTTGTTCAGTGCTCTAATCCTCCAGCAGAAGTTCACTCTTTTCTGCAACTGTTGGCGTTTTGTTAAGGCTGACATGTTGAATTTATTCCACACCTAAACATCTCACACACACACACACAGACCCCCCCACACATATACACACACACAAGTCAAGGTAGTGAGAATATGAAGAGAGTTAAATCAAGGCTACATTAAAGATGAATAGTGAAGTGTAATAAGTTCCAGCCCAGTGTGTTTGATCTGCTCCCTGCACCGTTTTCAGCAACATAAACTTATTATGGACAGAGTGTGATTCATCCCCCTGCTGCTGATGCTGATGCTGCTGCTGCTGTATTACTTTGACCCCTGCAGAATCAGGGTGACAGTTAACCTTGGAATGTGGTCGTTAGCTTCAAGCCTTCTGTCTGTGACATATTAGTTCAAGAACAAGGAAGAAACTGAGGAAAGTTGGAGGATTTAGAAACACTTTCCTTCAAAAAGAAAATAAAACATGAATTAAAACAATGCAACAACAGTTTTGGCTTTCACTGAACGTCGACTATATTGGGATGTATTGATCACTGGGTTAAAAATGTCTTTATTTTCTTCATTATGTTTTTTTTTTACCTACAGTTCTTTGACAGTGCAGATAAGTCAGTTTTAGTTCTGCCCATGCATTTAAAATACAATTTAAAAAGCTGAAAACCTCAATTAATGCATTTATTTTTTACTGCCAAAATATAAATGCATTTTCCCCATAATATCAATTAGTCACTTTTTCTCAAAGACAGAGAAGATTGTGTTGTCAAAAAACAGCAGGTGAAATGAAAAGCTGAATTTATCTAACCAAGTGGAAGGATATTAGTCTAAACTTCCTCAACTTCTACTTCCTGAACCTCACCATTCAAGTAACGATGACATTGTCAAGAGATACACATGGCCAGTATTGGCAGTGGGTGGCGCTGAATATCTCTGCTTTATGTTAATGTTGCTGTTTGGGCTTTAAGAGCGTTGTTCATTATTAATGAGAATATTTGCATTCCATATGTAGGAAAAGTCTTTTTTATGAATGCAGCATTGTTGAGGAACAAGCAACCAATTGCCCATTAAAGTTAAAGTTGATCTTGATGCAGTAGCTGCAGCAAAACAGGAGCAGTGCCAGCTGAAGAGCCAGCTTTCTCTATGGACTCTGGTGCAAAACCGAGAGACAGAGCGAGACGGAGCGAGACAGAGGGAAAGGAGGGGAAGTTTAAAAACTTTCAACCAAACAGAAATGTTCCTGAGTTGGAACTGAACGAGAACCTGGACAAAGATAATGAGCTTTCTCTCACTTCACCTCTCATTCACACTCACACTTCTGTGTACTTTAAAGGTGTGTTCACACAGGTGCCGTCAGCCAACGTTCACCTGCCATCATTATCACCATCGCATCATTAAGCCGCCACTCTCATCCAGTGAACAGTGGTGACCCAGCCCTGACTCTCTGACTATAGACTAACAACAGCTGAACTATCTGAAGAGTCGGAGGAAAAGGGTTCATTTGTTTGGTTGATTTCAGGTTCAGGCAGCTTTAAAAATCTCCTCAGGTTTCTTTTAATTGGACAATCTGTTGTGTTTTTAGAACTATCTTCTCTACTTTTCATCATTTTTAGGAGAGCCATAAATCCAGGGCGGCTGTTCTCCTCCACAGTTTGCTCAGTGATGGTAAAATAATATTTCCTAAGAGATAAATGCTGTGAAATCATATCTGAGTGATTTACACTTGTCTTTATGAGACACTTCCCACTGACGAGGTTTCTGTCAGCGTCACAAACAGGAGCCAAGAGTTTTGATGCCAGAACAACACGTGGGGTCAGAGTGGCCTGGATCTGCCCAGGCACAGGAGTCTTGGCTTTGTTTGCAGGGCTAAGCGAAAGGCAATAAAATCCCATCCAGAGTTGCGTTTTTCATGCCCTCACCTCCATTAAATGTGGCCTCAATGGAAACAGAGCATGAATAAAACAAAAGCGAGTGGAATCAGAGGCCCGGTATGCAGGACGTGGCCTCGGTCCAAGAAGCTCGGGTAAGGTGAGGGGGGAGGGGGCAACAAATAAGAGGGACAGTGTAATTCTGTGTGATAATGACCTGGACAATAGAGTGGGGCAGAGTCATTATGGCTGCAGCTAACCTGTAATCATCTGCACTCATTAACAGTCTGAACAGTCCCCTGCTGGTCACCGCATCACTTTTCCTAATGAATTTTTTTGGTTTCAGACAAATAACGCTGCAACATGTATCAGAGGAACTTCATTGAGAAGTTGAAAGGATGTTGGTAAAATGCATCATATTCACAAAGCAAGTGCTCCTTTATTAGGAAATATATGGCTTGACATTTCTGTTGAGCATGTGCAGCTTCACTTTGGCTTTTCTATACACACACACACACACACACACACACACACACACACACACACCTGAACTCTGCAATCATGACGCACTGTTATATATAGACAAACCTAGAGGCTTCGTTAAGTTCTAAGTTCTAGCTTTGTATCATCACAGAAGGAAGTTTAGGGAACTTGGTACTGGTACTGTTCTCTTGTCATGTTCCACATATGTTCATTAACTGCATTTCCACATATTTCACACTGTTTAGAATGACTGCTAAACATTACAGAGGAGCTGCTGCATGTAGAGTGAGAGACAAATGACTTCAGTGAGCGAGGTCTTTAAAATAATACTAATTAACAGGTTTTAACAAAGAAGGAGAAATAAAGGCTGAGAATTAATAACTACACACAGTTTACATTTGTTATTGACACCATCATCATGTTACCACTGTGATAATAACATGCAAAAAGGTTTTATAAGTTCATGGTTAAAACCAAAAGGCCAGGACTGCTGCACAGATGAGACAGAAGAATGAACAGTTCCATCACAGCAGTCATACTGGAATATAACAGTCTGACTGGTTACCAGTATAGTCATTAACCATTTGCCTGCTGCTAGTTCATTATTACCACCACTGCTTCAGAATTGGGGCAGATGTAGCCTACCTGGTACCCAATGGTAATTGACCTTTGACCAGAACAGTCAGGACAGCGATGTCTGTGACATCACTGTCTCTACATCTTCATGTTTGCCTCCTCCACACTGAGGTCCATCCTGTCGACATTCATCGATCGCACATTCTCTCAGACTTAAATACATATTGCCAGGAGCGATGCTGCGAGTGGAGCACTAACTTGATTTCCTATAGGCTCTAAGGTCATAAAAATCTCCCTGGTCAATGTCAGACTCACGGCTCGTCATAAACACCACGGCCAGCTTCTGATACAGGGGGAGTAGACTCAAAGTGACCTCTGGTTATGATTGACGCCCTCTGCTCTGCTTGTTTTGAGTGACGAGAAAGCTGTTGGATGATGATGATGATGTAGATGTGTGCGCGTCTGTGATTATTTAAAACAACCTGCCCCAGTCACTCTTTTGGGCTACAGGACAGAGATGATGATGCGTTCAGGAGCAGTGATAGTTCTCTCTTTTTGCAATTTAATTTACAGGTGATGAAGATATGCCCATGTGGAGATGTTCAAAAATTAAAGATATATTCAGTAGGTGGCAGCATTGCAACTTTGCACAAAGAAAAGGCAGGATTCTATAATAAAATTAATTATTATTATGAAAGAGTAATAGTTTTGTAATAATAATGCTAATGAAAATAACATAAAATATAATTTTTGACACTGATTACATGAGATGTTTCAATCTTACAACCTTCATTGATCTGAGCTACAACAACTGGACTGTTGATCACATGGACAACCCTTCACTCCCCACAGGCGTTCATTTGCCTCTGGTGCCTGTGACCCCGATGCATCTAAATTGTGTTACTGCCCCAACTCTGCAGGTGAAACCAGATGAAACCGTTTGAGTTCATGACTTCACATTCATTTTGTTGTTTCTCTACAACAACCAACACTAAAACTTTAGCACCAGTCGTGCGTCTCCCATCTGGAGATACACAATGTTTTTTTATCCAGATAAAGAAAGCTGCTGCTGGCACAGCTGAGTAAGCAAACTGTCTCCACTGCAACAAAAGTACAGATCACAAATCTGGAAGAAGGAATCTTCTCCACTGACTTTTACACAGCGAAACCAAATAACAGTCTAAATGGAGTTAACATCAGACTTCTTACCGTGTTTACAGGTGTGATGGAAGACGATGTGGTCGATGGCCGGTCCCTGGCCACCACCAGTTCCACTGTCTCCCCAGGCTGCTGCAGGAGGTTCAGGGCCTGTTGCTGACTGATCCCTGAGTCCAGAGGACTGCCGTTGATCACCAAGATCTGGTCCCGCTCCTGGAGACGTCCATCCCTGTGGACAAAGCTCTCCATTCATACGCATATATATATAAATAAATTTGTACTATATTGATCCCAATCTTGAAGTTGTTGTGTTAGCAGGAGATATGGTGTTAACAGGCCAAACGTAGTTATAGAAACATATTCATTTTATAAGCTATTATATTATATGTTACTTGAAACTTTTTATACATTTAAATATTCAAACTGCTAACATATCCTGAGATGCAGATTTGGGGACAGACAAATAAAAGAGGAAGGTCCACTGGGGGGTGTAAGAGGTGAATGTGAGATCAGGGTGGAGGATTTCTCTGGATGTGGTT